CTGATATTGATTGTTAATTCCCGATATTAATATTTCTGACAATGCTAATCCTCAGTGACGGTCGGCTCCTTAACAGTTCTACTCACAGCCTGCTATTACAATCGGCCAACCCCCTCAGAGTTGTGTTTGTTTTTTTCGGGAGAATGGGAGGTGGGGGGGGGGGGGTGGGTGCCTCTTTCATCTCGAAACTACCTTTTTCTGAGAGGGGGCACTACCGAACCCATCAACACGACCTTTGGGGTATACGGTATACTTGTGGGTTACGCGGGATTTTGAGCTACACATCGCGTTCTGTCTGAGCGCGTGTTCGTCCGCCTTCTTATCTTGAGCCGTGCTTTCAAAAGTTTCGCGGACTTGGATCGCGGCGCATGTTGCTCAAAATTTGCCGTAAGAAGCAGGTACGACGGGTAAGATCGACAGTTCGGCGTCGGCTACTAATTTGGGGAAGTTTTGAGGATGTTGAGAGATCTAGATCGCGATCTCTAAGAACCCATGTTTCCAACAACCGTAGAGTATGTGAAGACACACCGATAGGCAACACAACTGCACATAGTAAGCACGTGCGACGTACCAAAAAACAAAAACGCACAGCGAGCGAAGATGCACCCATAAAAGCAAATCGGCGAAGACACAAACAACCGCACAGCACGCGAAGACGCGCTATTAAGTTGCCCAACAGGAAGGTATGCCTCTGGCCGTGAAACGTTTGTGACTTCTGGAAGTAAAACGTGGGCTTGTGGCGAGAAGGCCTTCTGGGATAGTTTTTTGCGGCTCTTGACACACAGAGCTTCACTCCGTCCAAAGAGTGTTTCGCAAAGAAGTTGGTGGAAGCTTCGCTTCTTTGAGAGTGCCTTAGCATTGTGCCTCCGGGAGGCGCCAATCAAAGTTTGCTGGAGCACTTTTTTGATTGGGGGCACAATAAGGGTTCGATTTCGCGCAGCAGACACTCAGACACTCAGACATTCGGACCCTCGGACGTGAGTTGGTCTGACTGTCTGCCTTTTTGGTCCGCTAATTCAGACATTCAGACGCGAGCTGGTCTTATTCGGACCCTCAGACGTGAGTTGGTCTTGAAGAGTTTGACTGTCTGAGTGTCTGACTGTCTGCCTTCTTGGTCCGCTAATTCAGACATTCAGACGCGAGCTGGTCTTAAAGATTCTGGCAGGGGTCGTTTCCGTGCAGCAGACACTCAGACTCTCAGACACTCAGACGCTCAGACGCTCAGACATTCGGACCCTCGGACGTGAGTTGGTCTTGAAGAGTTAGCCAGTCTGACTGTCTGACTGTCTGCCTTCTTGGTCCGCTAATTCAGACATTCAGACGTGAGCTGGTCTTAGAGAGTCTGACTGTCTGACTGACATTCAGACGCGATCTGGTCTTAAAGAGTCTGACTGTCTGAGTGTCTGATCTCGGTCCGCGTATGCTGCACTTCAAGAGTCTGACTGTCTGACTGTCTGACTGTCTGACTGGCTGACTGACTGTCTGACTGTCTGACTGTCTGCCTGTCCGACTTGCTGGTCTGTGTATTCCGGATTCGAAGAGTCTTACTGTCTCAGACACTCAGACACTCAGACATTTAGACATGAACAGGTCGGCTTGCGTGTTCTAGACTAGAAAGTCTATCTGTCTGACTGCTTAACTCTCCTCACATTAAAAAGAGAAGACAGTCAGACACTCAGACAGTGAGAGATATAGGACCTGCAGACGTTCAGCCAGTCAGACACTCAGACACTTTAAGCTACGCAGACACTCAAACAGATAATCAAAAAGCTTATGACTACCCAACTTCAGCGGAAATTCACTTGTCTACTGTACTTGGGTGCGAGACCCATGAGCACCCAAGTCTCCTCCAAAAGAAAATGGCTGACCCTCTGACTGTCTGACTGTCTGAGCGTCTGACTGTCTGAGCGTCTGACTGTCTGACTGTCTGACTGTCTGACTGTCTGCTCTTCAGTTTGCGCCCCATTTGCACGCTCTGTCCTTTTTTTGGTACTGGCATCCTTTATCTTGGATGACACGCGCCAAAGTTTCGGTGGCGCCCATATCCTCGCTGGCCTTTTTTGGGTTGAAAAAGGGCGAAATGATGGGAGGTATTGAAGGAAAACAGGTTGTTCTTGGCCGTTCAAGGAGATGTGCACACATTACCCGTGACTCCGCAGATGAACGCTTTCTACTGGTAGTTACAACCGGAGGAGGAGCTTTGGTATCAAGGGAAAGCATCAGGGCAATGTTCTACATTTTTATTTAGTTCTCTCCGAATTCGACCAGAAGTGTCTCCTTTGTGCAAAGTTCTGCCAATGGGTTTCCTGAATTCGAGTGGGGCGACAGCAAGTTCCTGAGGAGGTGTCAGGGTGATCTTTCAAGATTGGCGGGTTTTTCAGAAATCCGCCGTGATCGAAGTTTTACCCTTGCAAACCCCAAGTGGTGAGTGTACTTGGACAACTTGGACGTCCTCCACAAAGTAGATCCCGAGAGCATCGCGATTTTAGCATGATCTTAGCTAACCGTCTCAACTCCGATTAAGAGCCCTGGTAGAAAGATACAAAGCTTAAAGGAGCCCGGGGGGGGGGGGGGGGGGGGGGGGGGGGGGGTCTTGGCGCTGAAAGCCGGCCTTCATGCGCCTAGAAGCCAAGCAAGCATGCATTGTCCTCCAGTAAGATCATAGATGGTTGTAAGAATCGTCGGAATGACAAGAAACAGTAGTCATAATGAATACATACCACAAAGATTGGCACCTTGCCGGTCGTTGTGTCACTGATTCAGGCTGGCAGTAGATGGCGTTGACCCGGAATAAGCAGCTCCTGTCATGTAGCTCAAACCAATCTTGGCCAGAACCCAGAGTCATGAACAGCCTCGTGTGTGCCGAGGCGAAAGTCGACGCATCCGCCTGGAGCCATGATCTAGCTTTGCAAAGGGTTGTGGGGTGGATCTTACACGGAGTCGAGGGCATGGAATGCTGTGCAAACGAAGATCCGAAGATGTTGCCTGCTGCGTTCGGACAAATCAGGTCCAGCATTTCGTGTACCTTCACAGGACGGGGTTGCTTGCACTTGTCCAGGCAATCACCGGCAGGTCTAGATGACTGGTGCGTGGTGCAGGGCTAATTTTTGTTGGGCTGGCGCAGGCATGCGTAAGCGCTGCTCAGGTTCCCGAGGCGTTTAATGCCAAAGTCCTGTCGCTGGAAGTTCCTCAGCCATCAGCCAACCTTGACCAAAAGTTGGGCAGCCTCGGGCGTAGCAGGGCCTGACATGGCTGCTCCAAACGTCCACGCCCGTCCATCCTGTTTGCTGAGCTCTGAACCCTACCTAGCATCCGTGGACTGGGGGTGTTAGTCACACTTTTGCCTGATGTCCAAAGTGAAGGCAGAACAACACTGGCGCAACATTTGCACGCATATCTTTACATGCAAGCGCTCAGACGGAACACTGCTAGAGGTACTTGAAAACTTCACGCACAAAGCCTGCCCGACTGCCCCATGCTAGTACGCCGATGCTGGTACGCAGATCCCGCAAGCATTGGGCAAACACAAACTAGCGCTGCTCGGCTGAAGGGTCAATCCCAGCCCCGGCCACCAGGACTAGCAAGATTCTGAAGAGTCTTGACTGCAATGTTTGGACAGTTAAACCTTCTGACCCAGTGAGTTCTGGTGTATTGGACGTGTTGGACTGTCACCTCCAACATACTCGTACATTTTTGTCATTGAGTTATCGTGTGATCGTCCCTCACACCAAGTCAATTCTGGATCAAGGCAGAGGTTCAGTTGTTCGCTGTTGTATTTGTGTGTGTGAGAGAGTGTCGAGAGGGTGCTTCCTGTGCTCCATCCTTTGTAGCACCATCTCCGCTAGCGACTGCAATGCTGGCTGGAGCCGTGATGCAGCTGCAGCGGAGGGCTCCAAGCAAGGGCAGGCGTGGCTATGAAGCGGCTTGCTAACAGAAGTTCTGCAGTGGTAGGCGCGTTTCTCCTTTGTTGATGCGAACTCAGTCCAACAGGCATCTCTGCAACATGCCATGACCGAATCAGCTGGAGTTGGCGAACTCAAGTTGTTGCATGGGGAGAGGCAGCTGAGGTCGGAGGTCTCCGGCGACTGCTGGCTGTTGGCGCCACGGTGGCCCGACCTATCCAAGCTTGTAATGTACCGAGTCGGGACCCGCGAGACGTGTACAGCCAAATCAACTCAGCTAAAATCGAGTTGTTTGGGATGTGAATCAAAGAATCAAAGACCACAAAAACCTGAGAACTAAGGATTTACATTGCGTGTTTTAGAAGTCGAGGGCCGTTGATTAAGGTGGATAGAATCCGCAAAGTAGCCGCAGCTCAGCCCAAGCCTTGCAGCCTTGACGCCCTCTACCGGCCCCGAAATCTCCAAAGTTCTCCAAAGTTATCCAAAGTTCTCCAAACCCGTCAAGCCCCCGACATCGACTTCTTTTTTTGAGAGTTGGCTCCCCAGCACGTGGGAGATGTGGGAGGCGCTTGTGGCGTGCAGCAAGGAACAGGTTGCTGTCCCGAGCCTCGGGCATCTCGGGAGTGCTGCCCGGACTTCTCAAGAGCTTCCGACTCGTTCGGGGGGTTTCGGTTGGGGGGGCCCGCAGCGAAACGAAGTTGCTTTTTGGTTGAACTTTGAGATGGTTGCTTTTTGCAGTTGAGCATACGGGTCTTTTCTTGCATGTGCTGTTCAAGACTATAGACAGATGCGACGTTGGGATGAACCAAGAGCTCAAGCTTTCGGCTGTTCCATCAGCATTGTACGACACCTGCAGTTGGCATGATGGTCAGTCAGAACTAGTTGCTTGAGGCTGCAAGCTTTTGGCCGCCGACAGTGCGAGCTCAGCGAACGGTGCCCCCGCATGAAAGGCAGAATGCCAAGCACAGCTGCAGTCCATGCATAGCCAGCCCACCTGGCATCGTGTAAAAGAACAGCTTGGCTGCTGCCGGACTTGCCGTGGGCATGTTTACGTCCCAGGTGCTGCAGCAAGCGAGCAGGGAAGAGATCGCGGAAGAAATGGCCACCTGAATGTCATATTTCATGAATGAGCAGCCTGTAAAGGGTTGTTGTTTCCACGACAGGCTAAGTCAAGAAAACCGGCTCCATTTAGCTGCGTTCGCCGGATCCCCTTGCCCTTGAGGACAGTGATCTGGATGATTTCTACAGCCCCTTGCAGGTTCAGTGAGTCGCCTTTGCTACTGTGCTTCAGTACGGCAGCCGCAGCCCTCAACCACTCTTCAGTCGCTTCTGCCTGGGCGCCTGAGGTCAGGACAATGAAGAACTGATGGCCATGCTCATGTCTGGGAAGGGGGACGAGGTGGACATACTCGGGAATGGCAGCTTGGTCAAGCCGCTCGGGAACACAGGGTTTCGAATTTGCCAGGGCTGTATTTCAGGGTCTGGTCCGGCGTTCATGAATTGAAAGCTGGCTTTCTGCTGAGATCACTATTTGTACTTGGTGAGCAACTACTGTCACTCATGCTGTTTCACGTCGAAATAACCTTAGTCAACGAGGATTTTTAATCAGAATGTCCCGAATGTGATCCAACTTAATTCCCTTTTGAGCATTGAGTTTGAATCCAACGCCCCATATACAGAAACTGTGTGAATCTGAGTAGAATCCTGGCATTGCAAACACCCAAAGCACCAAAAACAGCCGAACACACATTCCCAAATCGATTGCGCAGCCCTTGTAATTCGTGCAGACCTTGCAGTTCATGCCATTCGGAGCATGCCGAACAGCCTGAGATTACCGAAATTCGAGTCAACACAATTTCTAACTTGCCACAGCTGTGGGCCCCAGCATGTTGCCTCGAGGCCTTTCAGTCGTGACATGACTTCTGTGTGCAAAGACCAAAAAAGCAGAAGGGCCGACTCTTGCTCTTTAGCTTCCTGAGCACTCCGAGCTCAGGACTGTCATCTCACCCGCGCCAGCCTTCAGCAGACGTCCTCAGCTTGGAGATGAGGCGCTGTTTGGGGGGTGGGGGGGGTGGGAGTGAGGCGAGGGCAGCGTTCAGTTTTCGTTTTCCTTGTTTGGGTCTGAATCACAGCCCTCTTGAATCCTCTCGAATCCTTGCCAGACCCATCAGGCTTGTGTATCTTGTGTTTGCAAATGGGAGGAAGAGAGGAGCCCTTCAACCCCGTGCTGTCGGGGTTTTCAACATGCCAACCCTTTCCAAACCTGTCATGCCTGTCATGTGTCTGCAATCGGGAGGGGGGCTGCCCAGCCCCCCCTCCCCGGCTTTTTTGCTTTAAGACTTGCAAGCTGCAAGCTTACCTGATAAGGAAGATCGTGCCATGAAGACCCTGTGGTTCTTCACTGCGTCCCTATGTCGAACTCGTGCTTGGCAATGTCACAGCTTTCGCCACTGCTCTTCGCCCGTGCAGGTTGATCGTAGTGAGCGAAGACCCTTGCACTGTGACAGTAGTATGGTCTTCACGCCGGAAACCGTGCCCGCAGAAAGGTCGACAGAAAAGTCTGCCAAAAAGCCTGGAACACATAGCCGACACAGTCCAGGTAAGTCTTTTTACCAATCCCCCACCGAAAAGAAGCTGGCCCAGGGTTGAGGGTGATGCTAGCACGGCGTCGCAACCATTCCGTCCTACGGTGAGTGACCCTTTACAAAGCCAAGGCCCTGAAGGAGTCATCTCATCAGATGTGGAAATGAAAGAGAGCAAAAGGCGTACTGGCGACATGCCAGAAAAGGCGAGAACCCCGAAGACAGGGCGCGCGCAAAGGACGTGATACACGCTTGGGGTTTCATTCAGTGATGCTGCCGAGAACGTGCTTCAGGGTGGCATGCTGGAACGTAGGCTGCGTAGGCTGCACAGGAGGCTACTGGAGTATATGAAAGGCTCCGGCCCGTGGAGCCTTCTGTCTTTGTGTCGCGTCATGAGTTGCCGAGGCGCGTAGAGGAAATTTCAGGCTACCAGAGTCGCCTGCTGTCGCCTACAGCGATGGCAAGCATGTGGATGAAGATTTCCCAGCGCTCATTCGCTCACGCATGTAGCAGCCCTGCTGTGACATGCGGGTGCCTGTTCATCCACAAATGGCTGAGTTCTTTGCTGAGCATTGGAAACAGGTTTGAACCCTGCAGCCCTTCCGGACCTGAACGCGAATCCCTTTTCAGATTGGGTTCCCCAGGGTGGGTTAGTTGTCCTAAGCCGACCGTCACGGGCGCTGCCCTCAAGCGCTGCGCTGCCTGAGACTGTCAACAACGATGGATGGATTGCCGACCATTGGTCTTTACTTCGGCAGCCCGTCTTCGAGTCACCAGCTGCCCTTTGGCAGCTCGTGCTTGAAGCGGGCGTTCTTCCCGAGCAATGGACGCGCTAACGGCAAAACTGAGAATTGGCCTGAAGCCCCCATAGCCTTAAGATGATTCGACCCATGTGGCCATCAGACCTGCCAGCAAGGCACCGCGTGAGCAGCCTTGCAAAAAGATCCCTTTTGCACGAAAATGCATTCTGAGGAAACCCTTGCCATTCCACGGTTTCCACCTTGGAGGCGTAGAACGGAGAAAAAATGTTGCGACAGACACTCGTGCTCCTACAGCCTGCCACACCGTCAAGCTTTGCGCCAAACATCGCGTTGTTTGGCGAACTCTCACACAAACTCTCATGGGCTTGACTGGCGCGGCGACCCTTCAAACCTCCGGTGAGCTCAGCAGGGGCCCACTCGCCAATCCCTGAAGAAATATGCTGAAGAGCAACACCCATTCCGATCCTCCACGCAAGAGAGGCCACACTGATGGACATTTTTGGGGGTGAGCATGCGCCGATGATCGCATTCTTTGGTCCGCTACCTTAGGCGATTTGCGAAAGGCAGTCACTTAATCAGATGCCGTTGATAGGGTTCCGGTTTTAACCTTATCAAGGCCAAGTAAGAAGTGAGAGTTTTTCTGCAAGTGCAAACGTCCCAAAGCCCTGAGGCTGAAAGCACGGAGGCTCAGCTCGACTCGCAAATGGCCAGTTTGCACAACTTTTACGCTTCTAGGGGTTTGGTGAAACCCCGCGCGAAAGCCCGAAAAAAGAACCATCGGCCTATCCTTGGGCGGCTTCAAAGTGGCAGGCCTACAGACTTCAAATTAAAGTATAAAGCGAATAGACGGTTTCTGAGTATAGTATACATCAAAAAGAGGCTTCGTTTGACAGTAGATAGGCACAGAGCGTCGCCGTTCGCGATTTGGAAGGCGCACGCCGCCTCGGCGAGAGCGTCGCGGACACGCTAGGCGAGAGACGCAAAGGCGAAACAAACAAATCCCCGAAACAACAAACGGACACCTTGTTTCATTCCGCCCCCGATTTTCACGGGCGATCGGTTGCTTTCAGTGATGCCGCGTATTTGGAAGGATCGCAGGTTGATCACGACAGGTTTCCAGATGCCGCATGGGTCGCTATAGATTAGACGGCATGAAGTAGATTGCTTGTTTACTTTTGCGTTGAGGGACGTTTGTTTTTTGCAAGTTCAAGCGCTGTCCGGCAGGTCACCGTGCACTTCATCGGGTCCTTGGAGGATGGCACAGTGCCTCGTCTGCATTGGAATGCATGCTTCCTTCATATCACTGGCACTTCACTGGTTTTAGACTCGTTGAGCTTAGAGTCTAGCGGCCGTGATTTGCAACAGTACGGACGGCAGCTGTTGCTGTTGGCCGGTGTTGGAAATGAGTTGGCGAACATCGTGCCATGCTGCAAAAGGTTTTCGACGACACACGCTCCCGGCACGAGCCGTACACGTTCCGAGTCGGATTGGGATTCGTCATCGGTGGTTGGGACAAAGGCATCCCGACCATGATGAAGGGCGAGCTCCTCGTTCTCAGCCTAGCAGCAGCGGTGTATAGCGGCTGACCATAGTCTCTCATTTGCCCTCGTTTCTCTGAGCGTGCTCTTTTTTTGTGCACAGGAGGTCGCTCTTTGTCATGGACCCGTCGGTGGCTTATGGAAAGCAGGGTGCCGGATGGAAGATACCCCCAGATGCCACAGTGCGATTTGACATCGAGCTATTGGGTTGGGAAGAGATCGATGACATGGGCCCCGACGATGTCGAGCCTGAGTGGGAGGCTCCGCTGGTCGGGCGAGACGACGTGGGGGAGGGTGGCAAGGATCCAGATGGGAAGTACACATGGGAAAGAAATGGACTGGAGGTCCTGGTCAAAGCGCAGATCCCGGACGATACCGTGCCCAGAGATATTCAAGCAGAATTCTTTCCCACCAGGGTTTTTGTGTCTGTGAAAGGGCAGGTGGTTCTGAGCGGAACACCTGGCCTCGACCTGGATTGGGAGGAGTGCTACTGGGCAGCTTGGCTGCCTGTTTGCGAGAGATGTTTTCCCCACTTTCGGTGTAAAGACCTGGAGGTGGGAAGCCCTAAATTGCCCCCCTAAGAATCCCTAAATGTTACAAGAGATGTTGGGTGGAGAAGCCCAAATCTAAAAGGGGATGTTGGGTGGGAAAAACTAAGCGGCAAAGGACACGAGAAACCCCGTAAACCCTGGAAAGAGATGTTTGGGTTTGCACCCGACACCTTAAGCCCTAAAACCTGAACCCGCATCTGTGGACCCTGAAACCTACACCCTAAACCCTGAGCCCTATAGACTCCTGACCTTCAAGCTGGGCCCTGAACGCCCGAAGCCTGGACCCTTGGGGTGTGCGCGCTCGGCTTGTATGCGTGCTGAAACCACTGGAGAGATCTGGAGAGCGTGTGCGCCCCCTGTGTGACCTGGAATCCACCATCTACTGCGCCTTGGAGCCCCCGAACCGCGGGATACTACAGGGCCAAGTTCCTCAGTTTTTGTTTTAGGCTGCGGATGCTAGCACTTTTCAGACCCCTCGAGGACATGAGCAGGGAAGAAGAGATCCAAGACGACCCACAAGCCAGACTTTGGCTGATGCCAGGGACCCGGATGCGCGAGTTTTGTGACCGCTCAATGAGTCGCACCATGTCCAACTTCGGCCGCGTGAAGCTGACTCAGGATCCATCTCCACAAGAAGGATGCAGAGACTCTTGTTCCGAAGCTGGCTGGCGTAGGGCCCCATTTGCAGGCGCATCATCCGCCTTTCCTCCACGTCTCCGCCCTCCCCTTGCCGCTCCTCCTCGCTCTTCTCCACTTTCATTTGTTACCGTAGCTATTCCCTGGATAAAGAGTTTGTTGGTTTCCGGCTGCGGCCAATGTCCTAAGGAAGGTGCGGTGGCCAGACTTCCTCCTCAAAAGCCCGGAATCTGGCTAAACGACTGGAGCAGACAAGCGGACGGACACGATGCAAATACCCTAGTTTCGGAGAAGTGCCAGCCTTCTGAAGACGAAGTACCTCAGTGCCTGGACGATTTGCTGCTCTCTCCGCTGATGACGCCCAGGGTCCATTATTGCCTGGCCTGTCGGAAAGATGGTTTCATGTCGTCTGCCTGCTGTGATGTGCTGCAAGCTCGGAGAGCAGAGCAAGCTTGCCCGTGATCCTGTCTGAAGATTTGGACGCTGCACGCCAAGGGCCAAAAGGCATCTGCAAGCAGAGCGAGAAGCAGCCACTTAGCAGCCTTCGGTGCGAAGCGCCGTTGGTTTTCGCAGTCTTCAAGACGACGATTGGAGTTGGAGACAGGGAAGCTGGTTCTCTGAACTGGCTTTCACCATCGAAGTGCCCAACTTTTTTTTTAAACTTGCAGTCGGGTCACACGGGGAATTTGCAGAGGCAGCATCATCATCATCACCACCACCACCATCACCATCATCATCATGATCATGATCATGCTTAGGATTTCGTCGAAAGGGCTCTGTAGATAGCACTTGCAAAAACACATCCCTTGCTCGACCGTTTCCAGGCCGGGTCGTCCTGTTGTTGTGAATTGGTCCGTCCTGCTAAGGAAGCCAGGTCAGTACCAGGATCTGATGATCCTCGGATCCACTGGGACCCGCCGGCGAAGGGAAGGGGGCAATTTGGACCGAAGGGGATGAGGGGAGCCTTTCATTGAGTTCTTGTGAAGGCCGAGTTTTTGTGATGGTTTTAAGGACCCGCTAGTTATCCACTACTTAAGGCATTAAGGTTTGGTCTTTTTGTGCGGTTTAAGGCGCCTTTTTTGCCTACCCAACAGAAGCGAAAGAAATGGTGGCGGCCAGGTTTAGGGGTTTTAGGGTCCAGAGCTGTTGCCCAGTACAGTTTCTTACCAACTCAGTTGCGGCCGGTGTTTCAGCTCCGGTGTGAATAAAACGCCTGTTTTCCGTTCCATGCTTTGCTGGTTCTTGTTGCGTTCCGTACCCGTTTGCAGATGCAGTGGTTCCGGCAGATGTATGATTGGAGTTCGCTACCTCGAATTGAAACGCTGCATGTGCGGGTCTGCCGAAATCGGGTTTGACAGCCCCGAACTCTAAATCTCAAAGCCCCAGGCGAAAATGCCCAAGAGAAACGTTTAAGAGCTCAACCGGGCCCAAATTTCACCCTGAAAAGTCCGGCTGGACCTTCAGCCACGACTCCGATGCGGCAGGAACAACCAGGCCTACACATACCTTAACGTGGACTATGGCAACATGGGCAGAGAGAAAGCCTGGGACCCACTTGCCAGATTGCTTTCAGCGAAATCGGTTGGGGCTTGTTGCATTCGGGCTGACAGTCTTCAGGATCCCAGAAAAGGGAGATGTCCCCACAACTTTTGGGAACTACCGAGGACAGCGACTGCTTTGGATTCTCCGGAAACGTGGGTGCCGGCGCGCAGGAGCCCCCGCCTGCAGTGCCTGTAGTGTGGCAACAAAGTCGTTGACAATGTCGCTGGCAGTGTCCGCACGCGACCTCAGACCCGATGCATCCCGATGCGCGAGATGTTGAGAAGTTGTCCTGTGGAGGAGAATGGCAGCTTCGAAGAAGCGCGGAGCTTTCTGAAAGGGACCAGAACTTCTGCAATTGTGTTGTGATCTGTTTGAAGTTTGAAGCTTCTTTGAGCAGCAGCCACTGCCTTTTGAATAGCAGCAGCGCTTGGCGCCGCATCTCGGATATAGATCGCCCCTGATTCTTTTTTATGCTCCTCACAGTCTGAGCATTACCAACATCATACTTTCGGCTTGGCATCAGTCTTGATGCATCCTGATATGGGGGGTTTACGATCCATAGGGGTACCTTGTTGGGGTCCTCATCCTAAGGGGATCCTACTATTTTGGGGTCTACATTCGGGGCCCCCGGCCCCCCTTTTTCTCGTAAACCCCCCAAATACCCAGGGCCTTGTCCCAGCAACACCACATGACAGGTGATGGCATGTGAGGTGGTTTAGGCTTGGGGGCTGCTCTCAGTCACATCATGAGGCTGTCAAGCAGTTAGAAGCACGCGGTCGCCCTGATGCGCGCCCGGCATCTTAAGCTCTGACCTTTGTGGAGGCTTGCAATGATTCGCAGGCTTGTTTTGCAGCAGACTCTTGAGCCTTGAGCTGTGCAGTCGAGTGCAGTGCATGAGCCCGTCTCATGCTGCACAATCCACACAATCAAGATGCTTTAGCCTGCTCGTGCTAGAGAGCCAAAAAGCAGCCATCTTCTCGACGCAAAGTACCCCTCCGTAAACTGCCGCCTATAGCTACACATCTCCCACTAAAACCCCTGCACCCATCACCCCATCACGGCCAGGTTGACTTGGTAGCTCGACTGGGCTCCGATCCCAAGAGTCGCTCCTTGGCTCAGTTTGTACCGTCGCCGGGTTCCCTTTCGGGCGGGGGGAGGTATAATGCGCAGAAGAACAAGGAGGAGAGGAAGAGAGGGAGAGAGAGAAGGAGAGAGAAGGAGAGAGAAGGAGAGAGAAGGAGAGAGAGGGAGAGAGAAGGAGAGCGAGGGAGAGAGAGGGAGAGAGAGGGAGAGGGAAAATATGGGCCTCCGACAAGCCTCGCGAGCATTCTTCCGAGCGGGGGGTATCACCCAGCCCACGGACCAACAGTGGGAACTCACCATCTCGTACGCGCGCCCACGGCCCAAGAAACTGCACAGATCCCAGTCCACCCGAGAGCGACGATGCCCTGCACAAAAGACAGCCTTGCAACCAAGCCCATATCAGAAAACGGAGGGGCGTGCAGAAACCTGATCATCATCCGAAAAGAGGAGTGGCCTTGATCATGATCATAAAAGATGGTTTACTCCATTCTCAAACGCCTGGGGCCTCTTGGTTTGCCGATCAGACCCCGTGTGCCTTCGTTCTTGTCGGGGTAAATATTGAGGACAGGTATTCTGCAAGTTGCTGTGAAAGGCTCAAAAATGTTCCTCTTTCGCATAGGTTGGTGTTGGCCGGCAGTGCTTAGGACGAGTGTGTTTTCAAAACCTTCAGTGAAGTGAGGATATCACTACACAATGGTTCTGGACTCAGCCGGGGCCCCGGTGCCACAACGCCCACCCCGTCGCTTGAGTCGGTAGCGCTTCAATCGAAGAGCACAAGACAGGATCTCTACTAGGTAGCCTGCAGATGCCCTCTTTCCGGAGGCGTTCATAATCCACGGAGGGCGTCCTTTCCCTGAAAGCCATGCAAGTGAGACGCTGAAACCTGAACATTTCCAAGCTGAACATGTCAAAGCTCGGACCCAGCAGAATGCTGGGCACAACCAGCCCCTTTCCGCCTGGTGCAGGTTGACTTGCAGCCAATAGCAGCTGAGGGATCTTAGGGTTCTGCAGGGCGTTTATGGAAGGATCAGCCCAGGGAGGGAGGAGATGAGAGGAGCAAGGTGGAGGGGGGCAAGATGCCCTGGTTTTTTGGCCTGGACGCTGATGGCAAGATGTTTTGGCCAATAGGTGCACTCCTAGGTACTACATTCTTACTACATTCTTACTACTGAATTACTACATTATTGCTACATTATTGCCACATTATTACTACATGATAAGAACACCCTTAAAGCCTTCAGAGCTTGCATGCAGGACACCATTTGCCCACATGGCAGCATCCGGCAGCTCATCGAGTGCGCGGAGCATCCTGCCAACAGGCATTCTAGCAGATCGTACAGTGTCATTTTGGGGCGGTAAGGGTCTTTCCGGGCATGACGAGGAAGTGTACCCCAAACCGCACAAACGCACATCCAGTGAGTGAGGGGCCCGAAGTTGCTTGCCCAGGGCTTTTGGCATCCTCAATGCCAATCTGGCAGTGGACTATACCAGCACTGACTCCGTCCGGAACTTGGCGATGCCTGGAACCCGCTGAGGGATAGCTCGGGAGCAGAGGTTGGATTCGCATGGCTGCTTGCCCAGGGGAAAGGTTTGGGGCACAGAGGAGACTCTCGCGCAATTCTAAACAACCGTCAACACGGTTGCGGCATTGCAGGATTGCACCTGGCACATGTGGCGGAACGCTCTCATGGAGGCCGAGAGCTGATGAGAAGTGGCACGATGAAGGAGCAGTAACTGAGCAGTCCGTTCTCTAAGGTCGCTAAAGATTCTTGCCCAGCCTCAAATATCAGATCCTGGCCTCCAACTGGCGCATGCGATGTTTCTCACTTCTCCTGTCAGGTTTCAACCGTTAACCTTGTCAGAGGTCAGCCAGAGCCTCGGTCGCTTGTGGGCACTCTGGCTACGTCGGAATTAGCAATGACATGCACTGAGTGAGAGACACCAGAAAACGTGGCCGCATCATGGGCGCTTGAATATAAACAGGCTGCACGCCATAGGATCCTTCTTAGGACTTACGATCTTCTGCTGCAGGTTCTGGATTTTCAACCGAACCGGCTTCTATGGGAAGGCCCCCGATCTGTTTCCTGGCCTCAGGGTGACGCAGCTAAGAGACTTAAGCAGACTGCTGAGAGTTGCGAACTACAAAGCATGACTTCTGGCAGCTCTGGGTTGCACTGTTTTTGTTTATCTTTGCTGGGGCGAGGGTTTGGTCCGCAACTCCATGTACATCTCCAGACTCGTCGGAATGCTGCGGCCTGAGCACGAACCTTCTGGTCATCCAAGGGATCCGATTAGGGAGTTTCCTGCTTCGCATCTCCTCTTCTCCTCTATTCCTGGGAGGCAAGCTCAAGGCAACGTATTGAAGCTCAGGGCTTTGTAGCCAGAAGAAGCATCCAGGCGGTGTCCGCCACGATGTAGTGACAATCAATGCATCCTCTGCACTTGCGAAATTGTGGCGTACTGGTATCTTGGCAGCCCGTCATACTACCTCCAATCGGCTGCCACGTAAATTTTGCTTGGGCTTAGGCCCGGGCGGCTTGTCGAAGCTTTACCCGTCGACATCCTGAGCCATGACACCGTCGGATTCTCAGCATGCCTGCCAGTGATGCCCCCTTGGCTGTGGGGTTTGGCTGTAGTTGCATGATGCCGCAGCAGGAAGGTACCCCAACAACAACACCCCAATGTCCAAGTTGAGGTGGAAGCGAAGCTTCTCCAGCCAGCGGTGGACGTCGGGGTCACGCTGTACGAGGCCCTCTTGAAGTTAGCCTTTCAGAAGGGTTGCCTTGCATTCCCTGCTATGAGATGTGAGCCAGGCCTCAAGGTCATCCCAGGCAGAAATCCTGCCAGGACGTCGCCCGGAATCCCATCTCAGCACTGTCACAGTCGACCAGATGGATGTTGGGCGAGGCGCAACCATTGCCAAAAACTATGCTACAATGCAGCTGCACTGGATAGCAAATTCAATGCCCGCAGCATCAGCCGCAGCCTTATACAGAGGACATCGTGACCTCTTTATTGTATTGCCACACACCAGACGACAGGCACTTCAAAGAATCATCTGCGGGTGTGTTTGTTCTGTTTTGGGGTTTTTGCTGGACCTAGATTGCAAAACGACCTGATGGTTTAACACCTACTTTCGACGTTGCAGTCAATTTTTCTTGCCTTCGGCAGGTCAGAAACGCGTGCTACCATCCTGATGGATCATACCGCGGCATTATTTCGCTGCACGGCTGCATACAGGGCAGGGCCGAGGGCAAGCAATTTGCAAAGCGATGGGCCTTCAAAGTAATTGCGGTTCAAGATGCGCGAACTTCGCCAACATTGCCGTGTTTCTTGCCCTTCCGGCTGAGACGAGCGGGTTCACAGCAGTTGGTAAACACAGTAGTCCAGCCCGGTCGTGCTTGCTCCTTGAAAGTTGCTCCCCAGTATATTAGGGTTCCCCCAACGTGCTTTTGGATGCCCTGAGGTCGCTGACCAACATGTGCCCCACGAGTGAATTCCGGACTGCGGGACCTTTTCAGAAAGTATTGAACAAAGCCAGGGCAATGTTCACACGGCACGTTTGCTCCTGGTCTACTGCTTCCTGCTTGTTCGCTTCTCTGTGTTGCTGCTTTCCGCTTGTTTTCTGTCCTGCTTTTCTGCAATCTGAAATTCCCTGCCTTGTGCATCATTGTTTCGCTTCTCTCCCGCCTTATTCAGCAAAATCAACAAGTCCGAACTCCTTCAATGGTGTCCCATGGTACCAAGAACTGCTGCTGCTGGTGCTGCTGCTGCTGCGGGTGCTGGTTTCTGCTGCTGGTGCTGCTGCTGCTGCTGCTGCTGCTGCTGCTGCTGCTGCTGCTGCTGCTGCTGCTGCTGCTCCTACTGCTACTGCTACTGCTGCTGCTGCTCCTCCTCCTACTACTACTACTACTACTACGACGACGACGACGACGACGACTACGACTACGACTACTACTACTACTACTACTACTGCTACTACTACTACTGCTGCTACTGCTACTACTACTACTACTACTACTACTACGACTACTACTACCACTACTACTACTACTACTACTACTACTACTCCTACTCCTACTACTACTACTACTACTACTCCTACTACTACTACTACTACTACTACTACTACTGCTACTACTACTACTACTACTACTACTACTACTACTACTACTACTACTACTACTACTACTACTGCTACTACTACTACTACTACTACTACTACTACTACTACTACTACTACTACTACTACTACTACTACTACTACTACTTACGACTACTACTACTACTACTACTACTACTACTACTACTACTACTACTACTACGACGACGACTACTACTACTACTACTACTACTACTACTACTACTACTACTACTACTACTACTACTACTACTACTACTACTACTACTACTGCTACGACGACTACGACTACGACTACTACTACTACTACTACTGCTACTACTACTACTGCTACTACTACTACTACTACTACTACTACTGCTACTACTACTACTACTACTACTACTATTATTATTACTACTACTACGACGTTTCTCTTTTGACACTATGCTTTTCCTCACGCTGCACACACTCTAGACCACGTTTTGCTACAGTTGCAGGAAAGTTGGGGAGGGTTGCCGACACTCTTTTTCTGCAGTGGGGCATTTTTGCTCTGTTTCTGCAGTGGGGGCATGTTTTGTATGACAGCCTTGCATGAATATCTTATCTTGCATGACATATGATGGGCTTGCATTTTCTTGCATTTCCTATGATGGTCTTGCATTTTCTATGAGGGTCTTGCACATCCTATGAGGGTCCTGCATGTGCTATGAGGGCCTTGCATTTCTTATGAGGACCTTGCATGAATAATTTATGATCAAAATTGGCTTGGCTTGACTTGGCTTGGGGGGTTGGGGGTGGGGTTTTGTGTTTTTGGGTTGTGAGTAGATAGGTTTTGGGCTTGGACGATTTTTTGGGATGAGGTTTGGGGTTTAGGGTTGCAGGTAGATGGGATTTGGGCTTGCATGATTTTTTGGGATGAGGTTTAGGGGTTAGGGTTACTTGCACTGGTTTCGTTGCATTTTTCGACTGTGCTTCTGTCTTCACAAACCAGGGCCCTGCTTTAGGAAATGTTTCCAAGGGGGGGGTGGGGGGCGCTGCGTCAGTTACCGATGGTTTCGTGGAAACATTTTGGGGGGTCGGAAATGTTACCAGGAGAACCCCCCCCGCCCAGTCTTTAACATGTTAACTTGTGTGTCAGGCCCACACAAAGACCTCAACATACATCCTTCAGTTCTCTGTCTCTTTCATGCCTTTTATATGTTACCGGATTGTGGGGAGGTTAGCACGTTTTTCCCAGATGCTCGGCGAGATTCCCGGAAATGTTACCGGTGACTTTTCGGGTCCCCCCCCCCCTTTAAGGCAAGGGCCATCACAAAACACATTCAAATATGTTCTTGATCCAGTGGCCTGGCTTGAGAATACTTTCAGCGATTTCTGGCTGCAAATGTCATAGTTTTTGCATTATACATTGATGCGCCTTGGCAAGAGGAGCTGCAAGACAGTTGGAGTTCGGGTTTGTTAAAGATGCTAGATGACCGGCCAACACCTTTGCAGGCATGGCTCTGTTATGGCTGTGCTTCTGGGTCGTTCCATTTTCCAGGTACGCCTGGCTGGTTGAATGCAAGCCGAGGTGACTTGGAATGTTTTTGGTTGTGAAGCTTACAGTGGCAAAAGAACTCGGCAGAACTCGGCAGAACGATGTAAAGGGACTCTGTATCCTGCTGCCTGCAGTTTTCCACGAGAGAAAGTGCGTAGCACGGAGTGTGCCGATCCTGTATACCTGCATGCCTTTCATCATTTGTGCATTTGCGCCTGCTGCAAGGCAGAAGGTGTATGTGCGCTGGCGGGATGTCCCGTGTTCTGTGGCTGCGGAGTACCTTTCGCACACGGGCTTCAGGCGCTCCGCCACGGGGTCCTGCGTCCTAGCCCAGACTGCAACAGATACCTCTGAAGAGGCAGATGGAGACACGTACCGCGTGTTCCCCACCGAATTACAGGTGTATGGTTTGTGCATGAGCGGTATGTGTAGCAACTTTTCGGACACCTTCTTCGGCGCTGGGCTCAATATCACACACCGTGCCAAGACCTTATGAAAGGCTTCAGAGGTGCAAGGCCTGCAAGGCAGCGCAGGGCCACGCAAGGCAGTGCATGGCGTCCCGGGGCAAGCAGATCAAACAGTCTGCAAGAACTGGGATCTGAAGCTCTGAGCCGGAGACGTTGGAGCCTGTATCTCCTTGATGAAAGCCCGCCACGCTCTGAAATCTGCCAGGTGAAGCCCTGACCCCCTCAACGCCTGAGCCAGCGCTTGTCACCCAAACCCACAAAGGTGGTCCATTTAGAACTTTCCGGGGGCGGGGGGGGGGGGGGGGAAAAAGAGGGTCTGAAAGGTGTTGAACCAGCAAAGCCAGGGCATTGATATCGCCAGAAGATCCGTTGCAGTTGCAGGCTCTTCCACGCAGGCCCTGGAATTTTGATGGTCAACATTGCCCAATCCTTGGTTGATGAGCAAGTTCAGTTTGACTTCCAGGGGCTCTAACAACAGATGGATTCAGCTGACTCCCGCACCTCGAATGTTCAACGGGTGTGAATTTGGCGTTGAGGCAGAGGTTTATGCGCCCGAGTTAGCTCAATGCCTTCGCGCTGTCTAGGAACATCCGATCATGAGAGCCATGGCCACCACATGAGCACTGCTTTCTTGAGGAAGTTGAAGGTCTGCATTGGTCTGCGGAAGTCCTGTCCGACCTGATGCAGTCATGTTTCATCATGTCTCCATCCTGAGGCCACGTCCCTTCTAGCCGAGCAGAAGTGGCTCCTTGAGCTGCAGGTGCTCCCTGTTGAGTCCTCAGTTCTCAGCCTTTCAGGACATGTGGACATGAGGGGGAAGGGGACCGATTCAAGGGGGACAATGCACGCAGACGCCTCCATCGTTGGATTCGTACTTAAAGTTACACGGGGACGACAAGTTACTGTCATGACATGTGCGGCCCCACGATGCTGCTGCCTTCAAGGTTGTCGGGATGTCTGCGTTCCTCTTCACTGCCGGGGGCACAAAGTTGCATGAAGCTTCCCCCTGCTGGCCTCCTCTGGTCCTCACCCTCAAACAGTCTTGAGGTGATTGCCCTCTTCATCATTCCGAAGGGCTTTCTGATGCTGGACAAGTCCGGGCTCCCAGGGCAGTTCAGTTGCTGCTTCGGGTGCTCCGCAGATTGCAAGGTTTAAAACATGTTTTTTGAGGTCTTCTGGAGGTTTCGTTTTCTGAGCACTCGGCGCGAAAGTTCGTGCAGGATCACAGGATTGAGTGTTCAGCGCATTGGAATTGGGCTTCTGCGGGTTTTGAATTCTCTGGTGTTAGGGGCGCGGTCATCACAGGCCTTTCCTCTTGGATTCGACTCGAGGCTGCCATCGCTGAACCTGGGCAAGTTCTTGCTCTGCTCGACGAAGGCACTTCTCAGTCTTGGGCGACACTGTCACTGCATCTTAGCGAAGCTGCCGCAGCCTCTTGTTGCAGAATCTGATGAACATGGTGCAAACGACCGTCTGTCGAAGGCGTCGAAGATCGGCGACGGCATGTTCTCAAGTGAAGACTCCGAGGCCCTCGATTGGAAATCCGCAAGCCGCCTGCTGCAGCAATCCTAGCTAGACTTCTCTGATGGCCCCTCCAGCTGTTTCAACGATTTGAGGATCATGACTTTTCCTGCTATGTGAAAGTTGAACTAGGACCGTGACATACTGTGACTATGCTATATGATGTTTCATCCCAGCCAGATGTTTGCCACAGGATGAACCTTCCACGACGGCACTTACCAGCAACACCCTCGACTGCAGACTTCAAGTGGATTGAGTTTTTTTGCTGACTTCCTTCTACACACAAGTGCATGGCCCAGGCGTGAATCCTCGAACCTTCATGCGCTCTGAGGAGGAGAGGATTCTGTCATCATGGCCTGTCAATGGCAATTATTTCTCTGGCCGGTACTTGGAGGGTCCTTGGACATGCTGCCCACTGCCCCATCCAGGTCCTTTGAACAGCCTGCCATACGTAGCCACGCCTCGCAAGACCAGGTTCTCAAGTCTCTCTCAGATGTCGGAGTTTGAAGTAGTCTGAAGTAGCCTAAAAGCAGTCGGCAATTATTTCTGGACCCCTTGCGAGGACTCCGAGGTCGAGTCCGACATGGAGGAGGCGGCGCGCGATTGCCAAGATGTGCACCTCAAATAATCCATTGTATCGATGAAGCAAAGAGCTCTAAACTGAGCTTAAGGCTTAAGCTTTGAGCTGAGCAGTTCCCAGCAGTTCTGGTGAAGCCTTCGCCTTTGCCCAGAAGCAACGATTCCACTCTCACTTCAAAACTTCACGTTTTCATGGCCCAGTCCACAAACTCGCCTCCTCTCCCCGGCCCAACACAAGATTTGGGCACCGCAGTTTGCCATAGGCCGGGAATTCGCTGTGTTTGAGAAGTACGCGCCGAAACGGCATCGTGACGGTAACGGCTGCAGAGCATGTCAAGCGATGATCGCCTCCCTCTACAAGGCTCCCACCACATTTGTCATACAGCAAGCGCGCGAAAACACTAGTTTTTTTCGAGAGCAAGAATTCACAGAGCCGCCTGGGTTCTTTGCCACTGCCTAGACTTGGCTGCGAAACAAACCACATGCAAAAAACCTTCTCGAAGGACATTCCTGCCCGCAGTCGGAATTCACAGAGCAGGTGTAACTGTCGTCTTGGAGAATTCGCAAAAGCCTCGACCAATGTTTCTGACGAGAACTCCTGAAGCTCAAGCGAGTATGAGAAGAACTTGGTGGTTTCCACGAAAATGTCCAATATACTTGTGAAGACTGTCCAAATCCCGCCGTCGCCGTCCAGCGCGCCGTTAGTGTGTGCGCAAGCGGACGATTTAGAAGTGAGCGTGGCCACTCATAATCATGCAAAACACAGGATCTAGGAAGGCTACGACCTTTACATGAACAAAGTGTCCCAAATCAGAAGCAAAACCACAAATGCGGAAAAATGCCAAGCCTGCAGTGACAGATGAGGTGAGTGTCCTTGAAATTAATCAGGTCAGGGCCCAGAACTGACATGGAAAGCCTGAGCGCCAGTAGGGCCAGAGTCCCAATCTTGGCCGCAGTGCGGTTGTGTCTTCCAGCGCCATTTGACAGGAGAAGCTCGGAAGATGTTCCGTGCTTATGAGGCTGGCCCTGTTGTCAACAGCAAGTGCAGCTATTTAAATTGTGTTTCACACTCATGTTTCGTTATGTACACAAATAAGTACAGACATGTGCTCCCCTTTGCGGGCATCTCTCTGGGAGAGCTGGCAGGCAGATGGCTCTTGCCATTGTCGAGATTTTGCTGTCCATACTACTCTTTAGCCAGCGCCTCAGACACCAATAGGAACAGAAGCTACAGGATTCCGCAGGATGTGTTTGGACAACCTTGGCACCAGAGGACACCTGTGTCGAAGTCACAGTAAGGCCCGGAGCTGATCATCGGGGTGGTGCGCCTTGTCCGTGGCTCCTGGGCGCAGGCGCAGTAGACTGAAAAGTCTGAAGTCACCTACTAACTAGCCCTTCTTACATCGCTTCCACACGATGTAGGCATTCTTAAGGATAGCACGATTGCCAGCGATGGTGGTTACGCTGATTTTGTACTGGTGTGCTCTCGAGCTCTTGCCATGCCTGTTCGTGCTTTCGAGTGATATCACAATGACTCGGAGCCATCTTCTTAGCATGGAGATATCATTCGTCGTGGTTGCCGTTTGTCCCCCCAGTTGTCAAGTTTTCTCTGCCGTCATGTTTGCGCTTTCATGGACTGCTTTCAAACTTCGCAGTGTAAGATATCCATCCTGCGTGGCTCTGATTTTCAGGTTCGGGTTTGAAGCCAGACAGAGTCTGAGTCTGAGTGGCGATTTGTGAGGTGACTGGCACGCAGAATTGGCAGCCGCAGGACGAAGTTGTACAGAGCAGAAGGCTAGAGGCAATGATAGTAGATGTCTTGCACCTGCAGCTTTCAAGAACAGTGAGTGGGCGCGTCCCCATGCACCGAAGCGTTTCTATGATCTGGGGCCAGACATTATTGTATTGTCATAACTATCATAGTTATCTAAATTATGATATTGTTCGATTTTTTAATTGCCACATGATTGGATTATGATAGTACTATTTTGCTATGTTCTATTTGTATTTTCGTATATATCTATACTACTACTATGCTTTCCTTTCTATCTGTTGTATTAGTGTACTATAATGTACTGTCATGCCATTCTATTTTCTCGCATATTTTATATGATGATATTATGATATTATTCTATTCTTGTGCTGCTATATTATTCTCTGTGTATGTGAATGTGTTATTTTATTACTACTTAAACATATTATGATACTATATAATACTATATAATACCGTTGTTGTTTAACTGTTATGTTAATATAGCTTTCTGATTATAGTGTTTGTCATTATATTGTACCCCCCCCCCCCCAAAGCTCCAGGCTGCATGTTGAGCACTGTTGCAGGATGCTGTGGAGAAAGAGGTCCAGCAGAACCTGAGCTTCATCTACGTTTTTAAGGATGGAAGCCCTAAGTGAATCGTATCTCAGTCATGTGAGGGCAACTTGAGTGTCAGCACAAAGTACTTCAGCGCGAATCGCAGAAAACGTGGCTGGTCTTCGCTTGCGGGGTCGCCTACCTCGTCTACGCCTGATTCTTAATTACAAGAAGATCCTCTGCCATCCTGCTGGTCAGAAGCTGCGAATGGATCTTTCAAAGCCGAGCTTGGTCGTCGTTCTGTTTTGTATTCTTCAGGCTTCCTCGAGTTCTCACGTTCCTGAGGTGCTCGTTTATGACATCCACGACGTTTTGGCACCTTGGCACAGTTCGCGAGCATATCTAGTTTACTTGCATCGCGTGCTGCTGTGCCTGAGAGGCCCTCACAGAACTGCTGCATGCCAGAGAGCTGGGATGTGGAAAAGTAAAGCAAGAACGTGATTCAGCAAGGCAACGAAATACAACGCGATGCGTAAGTGGTAGCGTAGTAAAACTTAACATGCACGCATGTAGTTACAGGCATCCATGTAGTGTACAGGCATGCTAACAGAAGCCCTTTTGTGTTGTTGTATTTCGTCGTGTCTTGTGGTTTGGCCGTGTGCTGCATGCGCCCTACGGTGCGACTCATGAGTGACATGTTGCACTGCTTTCACATTTGAAAGCAACAAGTTGTACGCGCACAACTTCACTCCTCTTGCTAGACACGTTTATGGATATCATTGGACCATGTGGTCAGCGCACCGCCGCATCAAAGACGATACTAACACAGTAGGCGAAATCAAACGCAAGACGTCCTCCATCCACAGTTGAGATTTCAGGCAATGCAGCTGAATTATTTGACCTTGGAAATCGTGCTTTGCAGGTCTTGCTCCTGATCGTTTCCTGGGTGGCGTATCCGTTCACGACGTATGCCGACAGCTCAGAATCGCTTTGCCTAATGTAGTGGCAAGCATCCGATGTTCTATATGACGGCCATGAAGTGGAATCAAGTTAATGCGTTGCCATCCTTCGAAGATGGAAGAAGATGGACCGTTTCCAATGCAAATTCACAACCGTCGAAATCCTGATCATCAGATTGCAGAAAACAAGCCTTGCCCCACAACGCCAAATCATGGTGCAGTCAATGATTAACCTGCGCCCAGTGGATGTGCATGCCTGTCGGAGACATGTGGCGAAGGCCGGCGCCTTACTGGCAGTTTCACCGGTTCTTGATATCAACAGCTTGGGCTTGGGCAATGGAATCCAGTTTGCATGAGATATCCTGAGATACCCAGTCTAGCCCGTCCACCCTCCCAGCCTTATCCAGCCTTATGAGAGGATTCAGCTGTGGGCGAAGGCTCCTGTAGCCTTCCAGGTCTTTCCTATGGAAGTGGGTCATGGAGGTGAAGAAGAGCCAAGAGTGAGAGGCAACGCTGTCTCTAGAACTGTTTACATTTTGCGGGTGATGCAGGTACCATGTGTAGTTCTAAGTCTAGCCATCAGGTCTGAGAGTCTGAGGGTGGATGGTACCGACGCCCATCTCAATCGTATCTCGATGGCTCGAAGCTTCGACTCCGAAGCACACGGACACGGCAAAGAGCGGGGGGATCAGAACTCCCTGGACCGGTGTTCCGATGTGTTCCGATGTGTTTTCCACCAAGGCTCAGTGCTTTCAGTGCTTTCAGTGCATTCAGTGCGATGTGTCATTGTCAGTGCATCGTGAAGCATCGGCGTTGTCCCCGGTTTCCTAACACACGGATTGAGAATCGCAACCGGCTTCCAGCGCACCCCTGCTCCACACTTTGGCTAAGACAGCACAGAGTGCCATGCAAAGGTCCACCGCGACCACTCGTTTAATGCTTAATGCTCAATGCTTAATGCATGAAAGACAGTAAAGACATCTCCAGACAGCCGGTGCGCATCAGTGCGTCATTGAATGCAAACAAAGTGGATCGACCTTGGTTCAAACAGTACAGGAGTACAATTTGGGCTCCAGAGCATACTAGAGGAACGTGGCGGAGATGCAACTTGGACTCTTCACTGGGCATTCTCGACTGTCGCAGCGACGAGGTAGGAGCCAATATCTCTGGGCTCACAGCTTGCTGTCAGAAAGGAAGCCGATGCAGACATTGATGACACTGATACATTTTACAGTCATTCATTCGCAAGACTCCGCAAGGCATTTGTTGGCGTATATCTTGGGGTGTTCACGACCCTCATGGAGCAGCTTGCACGCATTCGCTCAACATCGCACGAAACCACCCGAATTTCTGCAGTCGGTCTTAATTAAGCCTCTGCACCCTCTGCACTTCAGCTTCAGTCAAGTCTACACGGCGTCGACACTGAGTCGACACTGAGCCTACACTGTATTCACTTCGTCTACACCCTTCGAGGCTCACAGGACCAAAATGTCCAACCCTTGAGTTTGGTGTTGGCGCCATGAGCTTGGCCACTTCCGTGCGGAAGTGCCTGAGCTCGGGGCGTGGCCTCGGGTGCCTTGACTAGAACGAGAGGTTTTGGGTTTTTTTGCGTGGTGTTGCGGTGTTTTGCTTCTCAACAAGGAGATGGCAGAAGAATCTTCGAACTTGACAGGGAGAAAATACCGAGGGCAGCCCATGGCCGCCCTTTGTTGACAGACCCAAGGCCGGCGACACTCCATGCGCTGCGGAGTTTCTCCACCACTCCAGAGCAACTGGAGAGGTGGGGCTAGTTGAGCTAAGATTCGTGATGATTCGTGTCTGCAACCGCTCCGTGCTTGGAAGGACTCCAAGAACTGGGTGGTGGAGCAGGTTCGTACAGCTGTCGTACAAGTGGCTTCTGACTTGGAGGGCTTCCACTGCAAAAGTGCGTGTTTTCTACGAGGGATAAGCCGATCAGCAGTACTTGTGCCACCTCATCTCAGGCTAGGCAACTCGCTCTTCGACAAGAAGGCCTCACGATTGATGCACCTTCAGTGAGTCTTTTGCGCATCCCATGCAGCCTTGCCTGAGACTTAGACTTGGCTTGACGAGAATGGGGAGAGCTCTGAGGCAGACATCTGCAACTGCGGGGCCGACTTCGGAGTGCCAATCCCGAGGTCAGATGGCCGTGGTAGTCTGGAAAGGCTTTCGGCCGCGGCCAGTCCTTTATGATTCACATTCCAGAGTGATCAGTGCACTGGGTTTGGCCGCTACAGGCCCTCAGTTGGAGTTGTTTGAAAATTTTTTAAACCCACCCGTGTAGCGGAGCCTATTGAAGCCTGCAGCAAGTCTCTGCATAATCAAGGCACCCCCCCAAATGACACACAGAGATAACATCACCTAAAACCACATCGTGTCCCTCAGAGCCTTCACCTTCCATGCCAGGCCGGAGCTTCTGCGTCGGCCAAACGTCGAGAAAGGCAGCCGCGAGTGCAGGGCCCCAGGGCCCTAGGGTTGAGGGTTTATTTGGAGTTTGTTTGGGTTTCCCAAACAGCGCAGTACCTGAATGCCTTTCAAAGTTTCAAAGCCCGTGTTCGATTCACCAAGTCCGTTGATGTTTCCAGCTTTGGCAGCTGATTTTCTGAGGGCCATTTTCGTCATTGTCGTTTCACTCTGTCATTCAACATGTCCCTCATGTCACAAAAGGCGCAAGCTGGTTAAAGGCCCGGCTTATCCCGGCTTGTTTTCGAGGGGGCGGATGTAAGCAGGGCTAGCGGCTAGCGATACCGAAGGCGAGAGTCGTTGTTGTGCTCTCGTTGCAAATGCATTCTGAGGGAGCGCATGCAGCTCTACGGCGGGGCCCTCTACTGGCACCTGGCCACCACCCGCACCGAGAAGTACAAGGACACTGCACATGAACAGCACATGCTGACGAAAAACCCGGCATGACCTGGTGGACCATTCAATTCACATGCTGGTGCATGCTGGCCCGCACATGCTGGCGCGCACTCTAAGTCCAGGCGGCTCGGACAAAGTGTTCCTTGAACCCTCCAAGCCCAAGATGACCAGGATGCACAGCCAGACATGATGCGTGACAAAGACGTTTTGGAGGCCTTGTGATGAGTAGAAGGGCGTGAAGAATTATGCCCATGCCATGAATCCAGGCTGCCAAGGTAAAGATTGTTTTTGTGAGTCCACTGAATGTCGCTGTTCACTTTCGCAATGCCAGATTCTGATGTCACGTGGCAGGTAGCTTGCATGCGCGGCGGAGGACTGATCACATCCTTGTGAGAAGTTCGAATGCATATCGCAGACAAGATACCACTCGAGCGTCATCATACTGCGCTTCGACGGGCCAGCGTCCTCTACTCGTACCTCGAACTTGCGTTGAAGGTCTTACATTGGAGCATTTGAGATTTGAGATAGACACGGCAGTCTTCTCGCAAGCCGTAGTTCACAAAAGCCCAGTGTCGGTGTCGCGAGCCTGTTTCCCTCGAGGCTCATCATGGACTGATCACGCCCTCCTGCTAGAAGACTGCTCCAGCTACAGTCAAATCCCGCTGAGCTCCCTTGCAGGGGCACGATATCTATCAGAGACCATTGGGCCGCGAAGGCCAGCACACGAGCCTCATGGCCCGGTTCGCACTTGGATCAGGGGTTGGGCCTTCGATAGCTAGTTCAGGTAAGGTAAGCAACAGGCACAGACGTTCTCCGTCTTCCTAGCTAAGAGAGGCTCGTCCAGAAATGGCAAAGGCACAGAAGATAAACAGGTATTCTGAGTTAGCCTTCGTCAGCCTAAGTCAGGTTCTTGGCCATTGACCACGTGCCGGAACACATCGAGCAGTGCAGGCTCCAAACAGAGACACGCGCAGAACTGTTTTAGAGGCAGACTGGAGGTCTGGTGCATATCTGTGCATGCACCACAGTACAAGTATTATGCAGTCTCAGATCGTCTGAGATTGGCCATCCCCACCAAAATTCAAGCACTCCGCTCGTACAATGGGTTTGGAGAGGAGGCATATGAGTGCTGAAGTGCTTCACTTCTGTCTTTCTTTGGTGATTTCCTTCTCAGTTCCCTTATGTAACGTATGTATTGGGATGTTCCCCCTTATGCTAACAGTCCTTTGCAGGGATCGTAACAGGGGGTACTAGAATCCCCATTAAGGACTCTTAGTAAAGGGGGAAGATCCCAAATTATGTATGTATTTCCTTGTTATTCCACATCCTCGCTGGGGGGTTGTTGGGTTCTACGTAAACCATACTCCTCACCTCGTCGCCT